TTTCTGCACCTTCTTCTTCGCGTCTTTCTTGCCCGCGCCCTTATTTATCTTGCCCCACAACCCCCTGCTGCTGCTGCTGTTGCTCTTCCCCCATCCCCATCTCTCAGTCGCAGCGGGTGCGGGTGCTGGAGCTGGCGCCCTAGCCGCGGGCCTTGGGGCCGGGGCTGCTCTAATAGCGGGAGTGCGGCTATCGGGGCTATAGGTTCTGGCCGCAGTGGCAGCAATGGGCTGCTGCTCCTTCACAGAGCTAGATGACGCTGCAACTCCTCCCCCGTTAGCTCCTCCACCTGCGGCGGCACCTGTTGTAGCACTTCCTAGCACAGTCACACCTACGCCTCTTGACGCCGCAACTGGCGGATCAGCACCAGCAAAAGCAGCAGCAGCAGCAGCAGGAGCAGCAGAAGCAGGACCTCTAGTGCCACCCGGGCCACCGGATGCAGCCGCGGCTGCAGAAGCGCCACGCTCCGCCATTGCCGCCGCTTCCGCCGCTACAGTCGAGGAGGAGGACGAGAGGCGGGTCTCCACCGTGTGATTGATTAGATGCGCCGCTTGCACGCACTCGGGCGTCGGCGCGGAGAGAGGGTCCGCGGAGGACGCGGAGGGGTGCCGCGGAGTGGGCCGTTGGCACTTGTCTGAAAACACTGCGAGTAAACTGCGAGAGAAGGGAGGCAGATGAGGGAAATAACGAGTGTTGAGTGGGGACGAGAAACAGGGAGGAGAGAGGGAGAGGGGGGAGGGAAGGGGGGGAGGGGGGGGGGATGTGTGGAGGTCGGGGCACGAGGACGGAGAACAGTTTAAGATCAGGGAGCGGAAGGAGGGTGTTGAGTTTAACCACACGCGGGGAAGGAAATGCAGCCTTCAGTGCTAATCATACACCAGCCGTTACCAGACTTATCGGTCTGAAAACGTTTGTCAGCAACAAGCAGCCTTGAGGGCGTCAAAACGGCAACCGTGGGCTTTCTAAACTAAAATACTGCGGTGCCGACATGCAATTCCTAAACCAATGCACGTCTAGCTATTCCAGCTTACTCAAATGGGATGTTCATCCGACGGCCCAGATCCATCAGCCACTCGGGGCTCTCATGAGCGGCTCCGATCAACCCTTTCGCTTTTCTAACCGCCATTCGTTCACGCGATCGAACCCTCCACGTGCTCGGGGGTGTCCCTGGCGGCGACGCCATCGCCCTTCCCGAACCAGCAGTTTTCGGCCTCGCAGCTGCCGAGCCTGTTGCCGAGCCTGCTGCTACTTGTTGAACTGCTGGGGCGACGTTCGCTACTCCAGCGGTTAACGTCGATGCAGTGGCCGCGGGAGACGGCGAAGTCTTTAACGAATTGGTCGAGGCTAATAGCGAGGGTGATGATAACGAGCGTGGCACTATTGGGGGTGAGGCGGCCCGTGGAGAAGGGGGACCGAGCCTCCCCGTCAACCTAGCGACCGGGAGGGTTAGGTCGAAGCCGTCTCCTCCTTGTGTCAATATCGATGTAAACCCCGCTTCTCGAGAGGAAGAGCCTGGAGATCGGATCGCCTGGCCAGCCTGCGATCATGGACGCATGGTAATAGTAAAAAAACAGAATCAGGTCAAGGGCCTTAGGCGTTCAGAAAGGGAGAATGTGAAAGGGAGAAATTGTGACGGACAATGCAACGAGACATCATCAACGCAGCATCGTATGAAGGACCGGCTGTGGCTTCCAGTGATGAAGATGATCCAGCCATTGGCAGTTAATAATTGACGCAATGGCTCTCTAATGAAGGAGCCATGGTCTGGACTACGGAGAACGACAACACCAGGCAGACGGATGGAGGAAATATCATATGCACGACAGGAGGATTTTCTTTTTAATTTCGTCATCATTGGCTTTATTGGAAAGGGTCTCTCCCTGCCAACTAACGTATGCCAACGACTCTTGATCAGCAGGCTGATTCCCTCACGCAAGAAGTTAAGGACGTACAAATTTGTGATCGTCGGATATGTTCTTATCTACCCACGGAAGAGAAGTTTTTAGCCAATCCATGGCCATCCCTGGTGATGGCCCTGAACCGGTACTTAGACGCCCTATTCTTTCGGCTTCACTGAACAACGCACGTGGCTACCGACGCAGCACAGCTAAAGGAACTCGAAAAATATAATTTCTTTCTCTAGTAGCTGACTACACGGCTATATTCACGGAATGATGCTTCCTACCGATAAGTGCTCCGAGACTCTTCTTTAGGTAGGGAACTGGAGAGGCATATGAGTCCGAAGTTAGCCAGCTATGGCCAGTCACAGATGTCTAGGAGGAGCTTTTGTGGATTGAGAATCAGAGCAGCTGTGGTGGATAATCAGGAGAACGACAGGTGGATTAGGGAACGAGGCATGGAAAGGGAAGAGCTGGTGGGCATCAGGTAAGGGGCGACGTTTTGCCGAGCGGAAGGTTTGGGTTAGGTTCGGTGACCTTGGTGAAACCAAAAGGAGCCGTTGAAGGTTGGGTTCTGCGCCGGGTTCGGCTGCTTGATGGCTTGGGAGTCCCTTGGGGGCTTCTCGAACCAATGTGGTCCGGTTTGGGAGGGAACGTCGCCCACGAACTTGGACTCGAAGCTCGGTAATTTGCGGGAAGCCCGACGGGTGGCTGGAATCAGGCGCGGCTCGTTCGGGCCCTGGTTTATGGCCGCCTTTTGATTGCGTCGCAACGTGGTTGGTTGGCTCGAGAAGTTTTGGGGTCGTGACTCCTGACAATGGGGTGTACACCAAGTGCCCGCGACACCTGACATCGGCCCGCTTAGATGTGCACTGTAGACAGGCACCATGAGCTGAAGTGACACACGAAAAGTACACGATGTCGAAAATCGGGAGTTGTACATTGCGAGTGGCATACTAAAAATATTGCCATCAAAATTAAGCCAAATCACCCCCAAATGATTGGAATCGGCGGAATGCATCTCTGGTGCACCCTGAAGTCAGAGTTTCCCAACCACACAACCACAATAGCTGGAATACTGGTTTGTGAGGGCGGGTTCACAAGAGCTAGCTTACAGTTTGAGTGTTGTCATCAGGCTGGTGAGAGTGGTGGAGCGGAAAAACAACTTCGGATTCTGCCGCTTCCATTGAACAGAGTGTAACTCTCGTGATTCCCCATTGAGGGAGCTGGCTTTGGCTGCTTCATTGTGTCTAAACAATGATGTCACGAGCAAGTGGAGACGGGCTTCTGCAAGACTAGTTTCCGAGCCTGAACACTCCCAAAACAGTCTCCGAACCTGAAATGGTACAGGTCACCTCACCCTTCGTTTGGTCAGCCTGCCTGCCTGGTGTTTGTGGATAGAGGTTATCGGTTTGGATAAAATGATCTCCTGCTTACACTACAAGCTTTACCATAAGCTGACTCCTTGACCTTTATTGGACAACTTTCCTGTTTCTACCTAGCGGTTTTAGCTAGGCAGGAACAAATTCAAGGGCAAGCTAGGGGTTTTCAATGTCCAGATGAAGCTTCAGGAAGCCTCAAATGCCTTATTATTTACTGCCTGATTATCATGCGGAAGCATACAATGCAATATACCCTATAATAAACTGCATTTTTTCAGAATGTAGAATACTCCTATGTAATATAAATTTGTGATAACTTATTACAGAGGGTTTATGCAATCACATCCTGTACTTGGTTATGCTAAGTGGCTCAATTGTCATTCTAACAATGTAAATGGTATTGTTTATTGTACATGGAGCAGTTCTTAGATAATTGTCAGAGTAACTAGTAGTGCACGAGAGGTTGCAGGGGTCTTGATTTGTGGCGACAGATGCAACTCTTCCAATGGCAGCGATAAGAACTGCCGCGTGGTGTCTGAGGTGGAGGGTTGTCCGATAGTCGATGACTGTTTCCTGACGTGGACGTGTGTGGCGGTTGCCTCTTTTGCTTTCTGATCCATCCACCCGCAATCCTGTCAGGCGTGTCCGGCATTCCCCAGCATTTCCCCCTGATTCTCCGCCTACTCAATCCTGCACAACCTCTCCGCGCACTCTCCGAAACACTTTTCCTTGCGCTTCCCCTGCTTCCGCGCGTGAAGCCTGATCAGGAAAAACTGGGATCGGGTTGGAGTTGAGGTGTTCTCTAGGATCCAGGCAGGAATCTCCAACGCGGGGAAACTGGTCAGAGGAATTAACTGCAATCTCGAGAACAGAAAAAGAGAAACTAAGTTTAGCACGCCACCTCTGTCGCTGCCATCCTTGTGACCATCTACCCGTTGTAGAGGCCACTCGTGCCGCGCTTCAGCCGTACTTGGTGATACTCTAGCGCAGTCGTCGCCATGGCGTGTACCAGTGGCATGTCTCTGAGAGCAATGGAGAAGTCACTGATTGCTTCTAATGGCTTCCTTCGCTCTTCAGGTGCGAACGGGAGACGCTAGTCTAGAAAACTTGAGCAGCAATGTTTGTGTCAACCAGCAGTCAGATAGATTGAATAATTATGGATGAGACTCTGATCAGAAACAATCAGGCGTGGTAGATAGCCGACTGTACGTGTACATTACGTATGTCCTGCAGATGAGTAAATCTATCTTTAGACCATTTCGAAACCATCTCAATGGTAGAGGTCGACGAAATCGCTTCCAGCGTTGGGGTTCACATCACCACACAGGTTTTGGGTTCATCTGCACTTGCATGTGCTCCCCGTCTAGTATTGTGCTTCTCACGGACCTGACGACGAGTTTGAAATGCGATAACGGTGGAATACGTGCTACCGGATGGAAGGGAATGGGAAGGAATGGCGTGTACATGGCGTGAAGACTCACGGCGCTTCGTCCAATTGTTGACCGTGATGCCGTGGTCCCGGTGTTCCCTTCCGAAGACCATGTTTATCCCACACCCTCTTTGTCGCTTCCCATTGTCTCCAGCTAATAGCGCGTCTCACCCCTCTGTCACTTCCAATTGCTTTCAACAGGCACCGTGTCCCACCGCCTTGTGACCTCAGCGCCGTTGCCGCGACAGCGGGTGTCGCGGCTGGTGACGGAGGCGAAGGTGCGCGAGATCTTCATGCCCGCGCTCAGCTCCACGATGACGGAGGGCAAGATCGTCGCGTGGTCCAAGAGGTAATTCAGGATTATCAGTATGGATTGGGGTTACAGAATCGTATCTTCACGCCGGCGCTCAGCCCCTCCACGACGGAGGGCAAGATCGTTGCGTGGCCCAAGAGGCATCTCAGAAGACCAGTATGGGTGGGAACCAGAGAAATGATTTTTTATGCCCGCTCCCAGCTTCACAATGGCCGAGGGGAAGGTTGTTCGCGCTTGACCAAGAGGCATTTGAGAGTTAATTCTCGAAAGGATATCTAGAAAGAAGATGGCGGGCGAAATGCGATCAAGGGCGAGTGGGTGGTGGTGGTGAGTTCGAGACGCGTGTTTCCGCTCCGTCATATCGAGGGCGAGACGGTGACTAAGGGCGAGTCGGTGGTGGTGGTGCCTCTCTCCCTCCCCTCTTCCCCTTCCTCTCCACCTCCCCCACACCTGCTGTCTCTTTTCCCCACCATTTGCCTTCCCACCATTGCAGCGCGGGCGAGACGGTGAGCAAGGGCGAGTCGGTGGTGGTGGTAGAGTCTGACAAGGCGAATAGACCTCTTTCCCCTTCCCCCTTTTTTCCCATCCCTCTCCATTTCCCGTTCTCCTGCTATCTCTTTCTCCTATTTCTCCCTCCGTCACAGCGAGGGCGAGACGGTGAGCAAGGGCGAGTCGGTGGTGGTGGTGGAGTCGGACAAGGCGGACATGGACGTGGAGACGTTCTACGACGGCATCATCGCCACCATCCTTGTCGGCGAGGGCGAGGTGAGGAATGAAGGATGATGGTGCGTGGGATTATTAAGCCTGCAGCAAGAGGGAGCGGTGGGCAGGGAGGGACAAGGCGGGCATGGGCGTGGAGACGTTCTACGACGGCATCATCGCCACCATCCTCGTGGGGGAGGGCGAGGTATGTCGCGGTGAGAGCGAATGGTGCGAGGGAGGAGTAAGCGCTTTTTTGTTAGAAAGGTATCGCTGAGGGTAGTGTAAGCAGAAGGCGTGGAAGGTAGGGGGGGGGGGGGGGCAAGGCGGATATTGATGTAGAAAGGCGTTTTACGACGGCATAGAGAGCGAAAACGAGGCAGTCTATTGCCATCTTGGCAGAGAGCGAGGACGATATGACATCCGCAAAGGCCGCAACTTCGGCCCCAAAACTCTGCCCCTTTCAACCGAAAACCCTGTTCACTTGCTGCAGGTGGCGCCCGTGGGTGCAGCCATCGCCATCCTGGCAGAGAGCGAGGGACGACATGGAGGCCGCCAAGAAGAAGGCTGCCAAGCTCATGTCTTCTGGCGCCTCAAGTCCTAAAATCTCCACCATTTTCAACTGCTTCCAACCTTTTCAAACCTTTTTCAATCGCTTTTAATCGCTGCAGGTGGCACCTGTGGGTGCAGCCATCGCCATCCTGGCAGAGAGCGAGGACGACATGGAGGCCGCCAAGAAGAAGGCCGCCAAGCTCGGCGGCGGTTCTGATGGTGGTGCTGCTGCTGCTCCTGCTGCACCAGCTGCGGCTGCTGCTCCTGCGCCTGCTGCTGCCGCCCCCCCTCCCCCGCCCCCTGCACCTGCCGCGCCTGCTACCCCAGGGAAGGTGGTTGCAACGCCCGAGGCAAAGAAGCTGGCGAAGAAGCACAAGGTACGGTGCAATGGAAGGTATGATTCGATGCGAGTACAAGGTATGGTACAATGCACACACAAGGATCACACCAACACAGTTGCAACGGTCACCAGTCAGACATACATCACCTCCTTCACCCACCACCCCCTGTCCCTCTTTTTCCTCACTTCTTCATCCGTTCCCGTCAGCCTCCTCTGTCCTTTGCATGCAGCCAGGCTCTTCCTATCCCCCTCTTTCACTCCCTCTCCTCCGTCGCCTTCCGCCCCTCCCTTCCATCAGGTTGACCTGGCCAAGGTAGCAGGCTCCGGTCCCTACGGCCGGATCACCCCTGACGACATCAAGAAAGCAGCAGGCATCGCGACCGCCCCTGCTCCCACCATCATCGCTCCTGCTCCCGCTGCCGCCGCTGCTGCTCCTGCCGCTCGTGCTGCTGCTGCGCCTGCAGCAGCAGCAGCAGCGCCGCTGCCAGCGGGGGCGTCAGTGGTGGCGTTCACGGCGATGCAGGGGGCGGTGGCGAGGAACATGGAGGCCACGCTCGTTGTGCCCACCTTCCGTGTTGGTTACACCGTTACCACCGACGCCCTTGACGCACTGTACAAGCGGGTGAGTCCTTTCTTTGTGATAATGTGGTGTGGCAGTGGCTAGCGTTTGGAGCTCCTGCTCCTGCTGCTCCTGCTGCTGGTGTTGCTGCTTAACCAGCACCAGCGCCAGCAGCAGCAGCGGCGGCAGCGCCACTGCCAGCGGGGGCGTCAGTGGTGGCGTTCATGGCGATGCAGGGGGCGGTGGCGAGGAACATGGAGGCCACGCTCGTTGTGCCCACCTTCCGCGTCGGTTACACCGTTACCACCGACGCCCTGGATGCTCTCTACAAGCGGGTGGGTCTGTCCGCGCTTGTGATGGTGTGGCGGTGGGTTGTGTTTGGAGCTCCTGCTCCTGCTCCTGCCACTGTCTTTACCGCACCCATCCTGCTCTCTCTCTCCTCCCCTCTCACTGCTCTCTATCCCCTCCCTCTCATTGTCCTCTCTTCTCTCCTCCCTTTACTGCTATCTTCCCCCTATCCCTCTGCTCCCCTTCACTGCCCTCACTGGTGCACAGGTGAAGGGCAAGGGAGTGACCATGACGGCGCTGCTCGCCAAGGCAGTGGGCATGGCGCTGGCGAGGCACCCCATCGTGAACGCCGCGTGCAAGGACGGGAAGAGCTTCCACTACAACGAGAGTGTGAACGTGGCGGTGGCTGTGGCCATGGATGGCGGGCTCATCACGCCCGTGCTCAAGAACGCAGACGAGGTAGGAAGGAATGATGAGACGGGGTGAGAAAGGGTCTTCATGTAACCACCCTTTCTCATCTCACGTTGTTTCTCTTCCCTGGTCCACAACTTTCCACGTTGCTCAATCTCAGTTCCCAAATTTTGTCCCTCATCCTGCCCCTCCAAGAGCGCACTATCATTCGTGCCTCCTACATGCTCCTGTGGGTGTATCCTCCTGTACACCTATTTTTGGGTATACGAACACACCCACACCCCACTCCACTCCGCCTTCCCCCTCCCCCCACCCTCCCATGGTGGTTCCACAAGGACCTGTACACGATGGCAGTGGAAGGAGCTGGTGGACAAAGCACAGAAAAACGCATTTCGTCACGCACTACCCCATCCCACCCCACCTCATTCCACTGCTATTTCTTCCCCGTAGCCCGTGCACACGATGTCAGGGCAGTGGAAGGAGCTAGTAAGTAATCCATGGTGACACACAGTTCCTCACACACTTAGCCCGCCCCACCACACTCCACCCCTCTTTTCTCCCGTTTACCCCCCTTTCATCATCCCAGACGGATCTGTTCACGATGTCAGGGCAGTGGAAAGAGCTGGTGGGCAAGGTACTTCAACACACAGTTTTCTACACAGCACCCTTACCGCACTCCACCTCTCTCCACCCCTCTCTTCTCCCCCTTACACCTCTTCATCATCCCAGACGGACCTGTTCACAATGTCAGGGCAGTGGAAGGAGCTGGTGGGCAAGGCACGGAGGAAGGCCCTGAGCCCAGGCGACTACAGCGGAGGTGAGAGAGGCGGACATGAATAGGGGTGGGGTGGGGAGGTGTGGAGAAATTAACAGCAGTAGGGCAAAGTTAGGCAGTGAGAAGGGAGGACGGGAGGAAGGAGGGCAATGGGAAGGGGTGGGAAGGGAAAGAGGAGAACTGGATGGAAGGGGAATGGAAAGAGGGGGAAGGGCAGGAGGGGGGAAGGCCTAAGTGAGAGGCATGAAGTGGAGGGTTGGGGAGTGAATTGATGTTGAGGCAATTGGAAGTGGTTGTTTAAAAAGGGGGTGTACCAGTTGTGGTATAGGCTACGGATTGTAATTTTTTGGCTTATGGTGTGCCTTGTTATAGCTTCCTTGTTATCCAATCATCGGCGTGCTTCTCTCCTTCGCTGCCTCTCCTTCCTGCTTGTCTCTCCTTCCTGCTTGTCTCTCCTTCCAGGAACCTTCACACTGTCCAACCTGGGCATGTTCGGCGTGGATCGGTTTGACGCCATCCTGCCCATCGGCCAGGTGAGGCAGTGCTGACCGCGTGGGACTGTGTGGGCCATGTGCGGGGGAATGTGAGAGAGAGTGGGGGGGTTCTTTAGTCAGAATGTTTGGCGTGGATTGGTTTGACGCCATCCTGCCCATCGGCCAGGTGAGACAGTGCTGACCGTGTGGACTGTGTGGGCCCTGTGTGGGGGGATGTGAAAGTGTGTGAGAGTGAGGCATGTGGGAATGAGAGAAGGGGGAATGAGGGAGGGTTTAGGTGTGATGCAGTGATAGTTGAACCAACTGGAAAGGTTCTCATCAGATCCTTTCCTGCTCACTTTGTCAAATTCTCATCATCTTAAAGAGTGTATTGCACATGTATTGAAATCAATATCTTTGGCAGGGTGCGATCATGGCCGTTGGATCATCCATCCCAACAATGGTGGCAGCAGAGGATGGCAGCTTCGGCATCAAGAGGCAGATGCAGGTCAGTCAATTGGTAGTTAGGGTTGGTTGGGTAAGGTGCACATTAAACGTGAAGTTGACTGATGTTCTCTGATTGCTTTTTCTAGTGTGACAAGTGCATCCATTACACTCTCTCCACTAAGCTAGTACGGTACCTCCCTCTGCATTGCACAGGTGAATGTCACGGCTGACCATCGGATCATTTATGGCGCTGATTTGGCGGAGTTCCTCCAAACTTTCGCTAAGATTGTGGAGGACCCAGATCAGCTTACCTTGTAGATAGCCGATGGTTCAAGAGTAATTATATTTTTGAATGAACGTGGAATAGTGAGTAGGTAGACAAGCTTTGCAAAGCCTCTGAAATGAGTGAACCCTAGTGCAGGACTAATTTTTGGCAGTTCGTGAAAGCTCAAGATCTGGGTGTATGGTATGCATCTGAAATAAGTTCCAATGCCATTACTGTACCTTTTCATTTCAATCCTTCAATGACACGGAGATTTGAATCCAGCCTTTCGGACACTGCCCACGTGAAAAGCACCATGGGCCGCGTCAGCTGGAGGCTCTTTTCCAAGTCGTGGTGGCGTGATATTTACTTGCTGACGCGACAGGATCTGTCCAGCATAACCAGCTCCAGCCAATCAGGCACAAGTGTGCAGAGCAGAAGCACAAAAGACCGCGACGCCTTGAAAAATCCGCCTCCTAATCCACGCATATCAAACGGCACAGTCCGCCTGTGTGTGTTACAGTGGAAGGACAAAACGGTACAGATGGTAAATGCGGTTCAAGCAGACAGCCCTCACCTTGATTGGCTCTCACTCTCAATGCTTCTGGTACTTGCCCCACAACGCCTTCTCCTTTCCCTCAGGCATTTCCCGAATTTCCCATCCATTTTACACAATTTCATGTTGGATTTGGCTTCAGCAATCTATGTCAGCCGAACCCCAAGTTTTCGCATGAAATAACGGTGATATTTCGTTACTCGTTCTCTCATTTCGGTAAGACTCAGAAGTCCGTCCTACGTGAACCTCGCAAGACTAGGCGCAATGTGTACGAGTCCTCAACCTCGCTGCTTCTTTTATTTCGGGAACAGCCGGAACGGCCTTATCACGTCAGCTTCATCCCCTCGCTCCGCACCCTTCCTTGAACTCCTGCTTTCTCCCGACATTACACCCTTCTCTGGTAGCACCTCGCCAGTCTTTCAATCAACGGCACAATGCGACACGTCAGCCGTGCCACGTCACCCGGTCGCGCCGTTGCACGGATAGCAGCTCTGGTTCGGTTCGCGCTCCGTCACTTCTTCGAGCTGTCGCCCAAGGTTCAGATGGCTCCGGCGACGTCGCACAAGCTCCTAGCGACGTCGCAGAGGTGCTAGGCGGCATGACTGGTTTACGAAACGCAGTTTTCTTCGGACACGGGAGCCCGGGTTGTGGCGGTGGTGGGTGCTGACGTGGTGAGCCCGTACGGCGGTGCCACGTGGGACGAAGTGATACGACAAATGGTGAGTCAAGGGTGTCTTGTGTGACCCTCCAGTAGTAATATCCCGTTTGGTCACGACTAAATTAAAACCAACAGTAATATCCCGCATCTCACATTCTGGTAACGAGCGAGTGATGGAGGAAATTATATCTGTATTTGTAACTGTTTTTGCTACACACGTATGGGAGTGGACGGAACATAAGGAGCTTTTACACATGGAAAAGAGGAAAAAAACAAAAGAAATTCCGAATCCTTCATGGGCTTTATCTGGAACGTATAGCCATCCTTCCACCACCATCACCAGGCGTTCTTCCGTCCTCTGATGATTCACCCATGGCATAATCTCATCATTACGCTCCACATTCCCTCAGCTCAGCATACACCTCTCCCTCAACATTCCTGCATTGTACCGTATCCTTAGTCTACTCTAAAGACCGATCCTCCTCTCCTCTTCTTTCAAAATATCTTTATAAATCTCGATTTCGCCATCCCCCGCTTTCGTCGCTTCCTTCCTTCATTCAACTCCCAACACCCCGCCACCCAACCTCTTCCATTCTCTCGTTTCCCCAGGCTCGCAGAGTCAACTGGGTGGAACCTTCCGTGCAGCTTCTCGTCTTCTCCTCCTCGTCCCTCTCCCCCTCCTCCTCCTCCCACTCCCTCTTCCTCTCTGCCGCCCAGCAAGCCGATCTCCTATTGGCTGTCGCCGTGAACAGTGCCGAGTCCGCCGCCCAGCTCGTCCCTATCTTTTCAGCCGCCCCTGCCCGGATGGCCTTTGACTGCCACGTGTCGCTCTCTGAGCTCACCTCGCTGGGCGGGCTGAACCCGGAAAAGCTGAACCTGCCCCAAAAGCTCGCAGCAAAATGGGGATGGTGGAAGGAGGGCGCGAAGGCCGTTCAGGTGAGCGCGTCTCTAGTCTTGAAATCCTCATCAAGTTGTATGCATGGTGTGCCAGAGGTAACCGAAATTCCACAATCATTTCCCAACCTGCCCAACCTACAACAATGTTCACTCAGCAACTCACCAGCGCTGTTTGAGGGCCTACACACACCATTCATTATAGAGACACTCAGGATTCGTGGTGCTGCTGGCTCTCTCCAACGCCTATATCGTCCATGTGCCTACAGTGCGCAACCTACCGCTCCCACCCCTCCTGCTCCCTCATCTCCAATCCAAAACCAATCCAACCAACCACCCCCTTCCCCCTGTACCCCGTTCCCCCTCCCACTTCCTTCTTTTCCCGTGTCCTCCCCCCACCAGACGTACACCCTGGTGGAGTCCTGCTGGGAGCGCTGCAGTGCTGATGACATTTGGTTTGTCATCCTCGCTCTCGTCGACGCGTACATTGTCGACGCGTACATTGTCGACGCGTACATTGTCGACGCGTACATTGTCGACATGCCTGCTCTGCGCAACCTGCCACCCCTCCTGCTCTCTCATCCCCTCAACCACCCCCGTCCCCATCCCACCCTTCCCCTCCCCTCCACGTTCCATACCCAAGACGTACACCCTGGTAGAATCCTGCTGGGAGCGTCGCAGTGCAGACGACATTTGGTTTGTCATCCTCGCTCTCGTCAACGCCTACATTGTCGACGTGCCCGCTCTGCGCAACCTGCGGGCGGCAGACTCGTCCTCTCTGCAGTGCATGGTCGGCAACTGCGGGCCCATCATCATCGAGTGTTTCCTGGACGAGCAGTGCCGCACGGCTATCAACTGCCTCAATGAGTGCGGTCCCACGGACCAGGTGCGCAACCTTCCCCCTCCTGTCCCCCACCCCTTGGGATTTTCGAGTGCTTGCTGCATGAGCAGTGCCGGACTGCTATCAACTGCCTCAATGAATGCGGACCCACGGACCAGGTGAGCACTCTGATGTTGCATTGCATGGAAGGCTGCGAGCGGCAGACTTGTCCGCCATGCAATGCAGTGCATGGTCGGCAACTGTGGACCCGTGATTCTCTCGAGTGTTTCCTGGACGAGCAGTGCCGCACGGCCATCGACTGCCTCAATGAATGCGGTCCCACAGACCAGGTGAGCAACCTTCCCCATCCTGTCCCCCACCCCTTGGGATTCTCGAGTGTTTCCTGGACGAGCAGTGCCGCACAGCCATCAACTGCCTCAAAGAGTGCGGACCACGGACCAGGTGTGTATGCCAGAAGCACCTTACTTTGTCCGCTCTGCGGTGCATGGTCGGCAACTGCGGGCCCAGCATTCCGGAACGTTGCCTTGCCTGGACGAGCAGTGCCGCACAGCCATCGACTGCCTGAATGAATGCAGGCCCACCCACCCACAGACCAGGTGCGTAGCTATGATTGGTCAGATTTCTTAAAAAATGAATCCAGCATCGTTGCGTCGTGTCCTACGGAACCCCCAACTCTGCGATCTGCAGCAGAAGCACAGCTGCTGCTGCGGTAGAGCCGGATTTTTACCTCACTTATCTCCTCTCCCTTGCTCGATTCTCCCTGTGCCAGTCCCCACCAGGCATGTAGCTGTCACTGCGTCGTGTCCTATGGAACCCCCAGCTCTGCGGGCTGCTGAAGCACAACTGCCTTGGCATGACAGCCGATACCTTACTCACCTTCCCTTCTCCCGTGCTTTATCCCCCTTCCCAACTCACCTTCCCTTCTCCCGTGCTTGATCCCCCTTGCAGCCACCACCACCAGGTGTGCAGTGCAGCTATCGCTGCATTGCCTCCTACAAGACCCCCCAAGTTCGAAGCCTTCTCCCTCTGCGTGCTACTGAATCACAGTCGTCTCGGCATGACAGCCGAAACTTTATGCCGCTTTTTCCCTCACCTTTAGTTAATGTCCCCACCTTTGTCTCCCCCTTCCCGTCCCTGTGGGCATCTCTTTTTTCCCCTCCTTTCACCACCACCAGGTGTGCAGCTATCGCTGCATTGTCTCTTACGAGACCCCCAAGTTTGAAGCCTTCTCCCTCTGCGTCCTGCAGAAGCACAACTGCCTTGGTATGACAGCTGAAATCCGCGACCGCCCCACCGTGCTCCCCCTCACACACCTTCGCGGGCAGCCCGTCACGCACGAGCGGGCAGAAGATATTTTCGTCGGGTGGCTCGGACAGCTGCCCTGGAGCTGGCGGGTCGTGGCCGGGCAGAATGCCGCTTACGACCAGTTCCCGTGCCAGTTTCAGATATTTTACCGAGGCAAGGCGCGAGGCTCGGTGTGGTACGACCCTGTTTTCACGGTACGGTTTCTCATCCTTAGCCGAACCCCGCTTCCAGTCTGTTTCTCATCCTTAGCCGAACCCCGCTTCCAGTCTGTTTCTCATCCTTAGCCAAACCCCGCTTCCAGTCTGTTTCTCATCCTTAGCCGAACCCCGCTTCCAGTCTGTTTCTCCATACCATTCCTCCAACCCCCCATCCATGCCCACCCCCACCCCCACGTTCCTCCTCAGCCCCACCTTCGCACCCATCTCCACTCTATTCTTCCCCTCCTGCCATTGCACCCTTTGGCCATCCCTCTCCACACTCATTCCTCCTCACGCCCACTGCACCTGTTCCCTATCATTCTTCCCACACAAACACACGAACATCCATCCAATGCGAGATATGAGGTGAGAAAAATTTCGAGGCGAGCAGGATATGAGGCGAGATATCCTTACAGATTCGCGCCCTCAGTGGTCAATCCCTATGGTGTGTGGCGCCACAACGGCATGCACTACAAACACATGCACACTTCTCCCATACTCTGCCCTTCCCTTACCTCTCCACTCCTCACCCCACCCATGCAGAGATGCAGCCCTAATGGACGGCCCGGCCACTATGGCGCCTGCGTTACTACCACCACGTGCACCACACACGAGTACCCTTCTCCTGTACTCCCATCACCTCCTTTCCTCCCCTCACTCCTCTCCTCGCCCCTCGTCCATGCAGATCAACACTCTTGATGGACGGTCGCTATGGTGCCATCACCATCACCACATGTACCGCACACGAGTACCCTTCTCCCATACTCCCTCGCCTCCCTTCCTTGCCTCACCCATGCAAATCAACACTCTGGATGGATGGTCGCAATGCGGTACACGAGAGTACCCTTCTCCCATACTCTCCCCTCCCCACACTCCTCTCATCCATGCAGATCCGCATGCTTGATGGACGGTCACTATGGCGCCGCCACCAATCCCTCATGGACCATCAATCCCACATGGACCGCGTGCAGCACACATGAGTACCCTCCATTCCCCTCACATAGTCTCTCCATTCCCCTCCCCACACTCCTCTCCCCATCTCACCCACCCAGATCAACACTCTTGATGGACGGTCGCTATGGCGCCGCCGCCACTACCGCGTGCGACGCGGGAAGGTTCCCGGAACCTTCACCTTCACAGTGCTCGACAACGGGGTGATCTCGGAGGAATCCTGGCGAATCGTGGACGTAACAGACGATTTCCAGTGGGCGCTCTTTTACTACAGTGGCGCCGCACGGGCGGCAGGGCAGTCGTACACCGGGGCTGTGCTTGTGTCCAAGGATGGTGAGTGGCCCGACCTGAGCATGCGGTTCGGCTCAAGGCTGCACTGGATCGGTGCGGGATCAAGGAGTGGGAGCTGTACCGGGTTGATAACTCGTGCTGTGAGAATGCGCCCTTGGGATTGCCGGATGATGCTCCTGCTCCTGTTTCAATAGCATAAAACATGAGTATATGTTGGTTGGGACGCTATCTGCTTCTGAATGTTCCAAATTTTCATATGTTTTTTCCCATGTTTTTTTCAAAATGATTCTTCAGCGCGGTTGCTTGAAGCCGGATGTTAGGGGTGCAATGAATCGAAGTAGGGAGAATTGCACTAAGGTGTCAAACGAGTACAAAATGTGAGCGAAGGCATGAGCGAACATTTATATGCGAAACATGCAAACGGTAACGCGGTGCGTGCGAGCTAGCTAGTGCTACGCTGGAGCGAGGCTCGGGCTAGTCCCGAAGCGTAGGCCGACACGGCCAGGCCAGCAGTTCGAGGTTTGGTGAAACAGTGCACGCGAAGTCGGCGAAGCCCGTTAGCAGTAACGGGCGAACAACGGCTGTTGCTGTACGCGATGTAGTCGTAAGGAATGCCGAGAAAATTCCTTACACTGGAGAACATGTTCCTTGCTGGGCATAGGTTGTGCTAATGGGGTCCATGGGTGCTCCCGCTAGTATTGCATCGCTAGCGTTTCAGGGTGTAGGCCATTTAGCATAGAGAACGTAGAGACGTCCAAAGAGTCGTACAGCTTGACCACGCCCTCAGTGCATTTACCGTCAGTGTAAGACCCGCTACAAGGTGTGGGCTGGGTGCCTTAGCTTAGATGGATGGGTGTCTTCGGTTCAGTGGTCAGCAGCAGCCATGAGTGAATTCTACACTTATGGGTTGGGGAAGGTGGAATCCAGGGTGGGGGTGGTAGCGGATGGAACGGAACGGAACGACCAGGTCGGACGGAAATGTACAGTAGATTGTCAGAAGGACCTTGTC